GAGGCGGTTCTAATGAGCTATTTTGCATTCTTCTATAACCACTGGATGCCAAGATAATTGATAAATCACATTTTTATCAATATTAAACTATTTTGGCATTTTGACTTATCAGGTGAGCAATGTCAAAATCTATTTTTAGATTTTATAGCTAATTGATACACAAAAATTTAATTATTTTTAAACACTCATTACTCATTTTGATAATAAAATATTATGCTATAAAATTTATTCCAAATGATCCTCATATACTACAGATTATGATATATAAAAAATCTTAAATTTGATAAAATTATCTCTAACCCCTATATTCTTAGCACAGAACCCATATATAGTTATGATACTAGATTAAAAAAAAAATTATATTTGTTTAATGAAAAACGTTATTTTTGTGGAATTGTAAAAGAATGACCTTTATTTTATATAAGCATATATTAAAGCTACAGTTATTAGAATTCTTCAAAATCGAATCAAATCAAATATTGAAGCAATTTGAATTTGATTTGATTTTTTAAATCAAATTAAATTAAATTGAATTGAACTTAAATATTTAATCAAATCAAATTAAATTGAATCAAATATTTATTGAATTAAATTAAATTAAATCAAATATTAGATCAAATCAAATCAAATATAAATTTTTTTTAATTTTTACAATGATATATTAAAACTTTAGAATAACTTTATTTTAATTAAGAGAATTATTATTAATATGCATTAAAAAATTTTAAAGATAACTTTTACAAAGTAAATTTAGTAACAGATAAATTTTTACTAAGAAAAACTTAGAAAACAACTCTGCAGCTTTTGTTTTACTAAGAAAACAACTCTATAGTTTTAGTTTCATTAAGAAAACTTAGTAAAATAACTCTGCAGCTTCAGTTTTACTAAGAAAATAATTCTACTTTCAGTTTTATTAAGAAAACTTAGTAAAATAATTCTACATCTTCAGTTTACTAAGAAAACTTAGTAATAACTGCCATTGCAGTTTTGGTTTACTAAGAAAACTTAGTAATAATTGCTATTGCAGCTTCAGTTTTACTAAGAAGACTTAGTAATAACCGCTATCACAACTTCAGTTTTACTAAAAAAACTTAATAATAACTGTCATCATAGCTTTGGTTTACTAAGAAAATTTAGTAATAACTGCTATCTTGGCTTCATAACAATTTTATTAGTAAAAAATGTTTTCGAAGCTGTAGACACGTTTTTTTACTAAGTCTCTTAGTAAAAAATGTCTCCAAAGTTGCAGAGATGATTATTACTATGTTTTCTTAGTAAAATAACGTTTCTGAAGTTGTAGAGGCGTTTTTTACTAGATTTTCTTAGTAAAATAACGTCTCTGAAGCTGCATAGGCATTTTTTACTATGTTTTCTTAGTAAAATAACATCTCTGAAGCTGCAGAGTCATTTTTACTATATTTTCTTAGTAAAATAACATCTCTAAAGCTGCAGATGCGTTTTTTACTATGTTTTCTTAGTAAAATAATATAGTAGAGCAAATTTGGGAATTCTGGAATCAAAATCATATGATACCCAAAATAGATCTCCAAACTTTTTTCCAATCCATTCTAGCATATATGAATCAACTATTGAATTTAAGCCTCCAGCGTGATTTTGGCACAAATCCTGTTAACAACCTCTTCTTGATAAAAAATCTAGACTTCAGAAGCTAAAAAGAATACAATTTATTTTAACTGTTCTAGCCCATTTTTAATCTCAAATAATATATCAAAAAAAATTTACTATTCCATTTGCCTCAGGAGGGGTCATTGAAAATCAAGGATCAAAGTGACGCAATTTGAATTGGATCTGACATTGCAAATCTAATATGAATAATAACTTTTATGCTATTTTGCTTGCCTCCAGAGGATTAATTGTAAATCAAGAAACAAAGTGATACGATTTGAGTTGTATTCGATCATGTAAGCCTAAAATGCATACTATATTTCATAATATCCTAAAATTAATTTTAAAGATAATTCATTATCAGCTAGCAATACTAAAATATACACCTATACCTGTTCATAGGTGTAAATTTTTGAATGTGTACAAGAAAGTCTAAAAGCTCTAAATCAAATTCTAGTATACTAATAATTTCTTAATATTGAGTAAACTAATCTTAAGCTATTTTCTTTACATAAAGCTAGGATTGCTAATTTTTACCTTAGGTGTAAAAAAAATTGGGTTAGGTAAAAATTTTTCATATGTCTTAGTACTAGGTGTAAAAAAATCAGAATGCAAAGCTGAAAGAAGAGACCTAGCATGGTTGAGCGACAAGACGCTCAGGGTTAGGTGTAAATTTTTTGTATATCTTAATATTAGGTGTAAAATTTTCAACCCTAATTTGCCTCCCAATAAGTACCAATAGCTCTATCCTGAAGCCTATTAATATACTGGGTCACATAATAACTACTAGCATATTTTCTACAAAGGCTGGGCTTAGAGCTAGTCGACTTATCACAAACTGTGTAAGGAATACACTTCCTAGCTTTTTAATGTTCATGACACCCTAATGATCGATGACAGGTACGCCTACAGATATCACCAGTTCGAAGATAATAGTTGCAAGAATATTCACCAATTATAATAATAATAAATATTATATTTTAAATAAAAGTTTCTGCTATATTAATACAATTTGTATCACCTATATTCTACATAAACCTTACTTAATTTTGAAATTTTATAACTCTCAAAGTTTAAGTGATACAAAAAATATAAACCACAAATATTAAACTTTGAGATATAAAGAACAATTTTTGTGGCATATTTATTTCGAAAATAAATTGCATCAATAATTATAAAAGTTTGAAAACAGATTATATTATTATTAAATTCAGGTATTCAAATCTTTAATTTTGGCCAGAATTAGCCAAGATTTTATAATTTTGGCTAAAATCAACGCAATCACGTGAAATATTGTGAAACACTTTCATCTCTTTTTTTATGAATATATGCAGATATCCGCAGATATTTATGTAACATTCATATAATTTATAATTTTTCGATACCATTTCCTCTTATTTTATTATACCATAAGGGATTTTAATGTTTTGTAATTGGATTTTTCATTAAAGCTTTTATTGCCTTCAGGTAACATTTTTTTTAATGTTTACTCAGGTTTCTTTAAAACATATTTTCACATTATCAGTCAAGTTTTGCCTCATTAAAATTTATCAAACATGTGATTATTGTTTTACGCAGAGATATCGCAACTAAAAAGACTTTATAATAATACTACAAATAGAAGACTATTAAGAGAAAGTTGTAGTTTTCTAAAATAAATGGATCAAAAGTTAAAACAAACAAAACCAAAACTGGTTTGAATAAAATGAACATAGTTGATGTACAATTATGTAATGGAAAGTTTTACCAGCAGTTTTTTTGTTTGATGAATTGAATAAATTTGTCTTTGGGTAATATACAGGTTCACTTGATTTTTTATTTGTATCTGTAATAAAGGTTATGGATAATCTATGTATTTATGGATAAATAAATCCAAATCTAATTGGCATTTTTTCTTTTTGAAAAAATGGGTTGTTCATCAAAAAAACGTCGCATTGCTTTAACAAAATCTTGCACTATTAATGGTACTTTTATTGCTAAAACTTAGGATGAAACAAATTTTGAGGAAGAAACTGAAGGTACTGAAGATTTAGAAATTGAAGATTGGGGTAATGATGATGATAATGAATGGGAAGAGGATATTGATTTAAAGTTAGCAGAAGCTAATTATAAAAGGCTTTTGAATTTAGAATTAGTATGGAAAAAGATGCTTATTTAGAAAAAAAATATGCGGACCATATTTAATAGGATCAACTAAAAAATCTACATTTTATGATAATTATGAACCAAGTGGGAAATGGACCAAGGCTGCAGAAAATATACCAAAATTAACTAGTTTTTTTAGCTTAAAAAATAAAGAAATAGAAGGTGAAACAGATGATGTTGAAAAAAATTTTATAGATGACGAATATATATAGAACTTTAAAGAAATTGAAATTAAAGTTGAAAATTTAAAGGAAGAACTAAAAAATAATCAACATGAAATGTCAGTAATTAAATACAATAAAAAAGAGCAATATTTAAAATGTTAAAACGAGTTAAAAAAGATGGAAAAGGATTAATAAAAGCTAGTACAGAAACTGCGGAATTAGTTTTTATAGATTGTCATTCATATAAAGCGCAATGTATTAGAATCTGGACAAAATATTGGCTTCAAAATGCTCAGCTTCCACCTACTTTTCAAGGTAAATACCAAAAAATTGTCTGATTAATTGACGATGAAAATATATCAGAAAAATGTCAAATTTGGATTCGGAGTCAAGGAGGACACACAACACCAATAAAGTTTAAAGAGTTTGTTAAACAAACTCTTTTATCAGAGACTGGAATTACTAAACGAAAAACTATTTATAATTCTACAGCAAGGCAGTGGTTAAATGTATTGGATTTTTTTATCAACAACAAAAACAAGGAGTATATTTTGATAGACATGAAAGAGATGATGTAATAGAATATCAAAAACAATTTTTAGAAGAAATTGCTAAATATGAACTATATATAGCAAATTATGATGGAAAAACAATGGAAAGAATTTTATCAAATCTTAAGAATGATGAAAAAGAACATATTTTGGTAATACACAATGAATGTATTTTTTATTTAAATGATGGTAAACGTGATGTATGAACAAAAACAGGTGAATTATCATTGAGAAAAAAAGAATATAGTCGATTAATTATAATAAGTGAATTTCTAACAAAAGCATATGAATGGCTTAAATTATATACTCAAGCAATTGAAAATTATCCTAATATTCCAAAGGAAGCATATGTTTATTTAATTCGAAGAAAAAATCAAGAAGGTTATTGGATAATGAATCATTTATTAGAACAAGTAAAATCAAAAGCAATTCCAATTTTTGAAGCATTGTTTTCTAATTGTATTGCTATTAAGATTGCTTGTCTAAACTCATTTTGGATTTGGCAAAATGGTAAAACCTTTAGTTTCGCTAAATTTTTACTAAGTGTTTGATATAGTTTTGCCATTTTTATATAGTTTTACCTTTTTCCAAATTTCGCAAATTTTTTAATAAGGTTTTAATATAATTTAACCAAGTTTTACTTTTATCATTTAGACGTCTGTCTAAACTCTTGATTTCATCCAGCAACTTTAATTGCTATATTTGCATTTAATACCAGTTCAAAACATGCTGCATTTTTACCAGATGCTCTTATAGCAAGCAAAATGAATCTTTTTCCAGGTGAAAAACAACCAGCAATGCGAAGTACAACTTGGGGAGAAAATAATTATCAAGATATGTGCTTTTCAAATGATTATTTTGTTGAAAAATTATGCGAAAAACCTAAGGGAATGAAACAAGTACTTTTAGAAAGAGGAAAATGGAGAGATAGTTTAAATGCAGATTGTCAGTTATATAAAGCAGGAAATAAAGATCCTAATCAGATTAATTGTTGTGCAAGACGAATTATATCCTTAGAACCAGATTTTATAGCTCAAAAAGATGCATTACATGAAATTATTTCAATAGTAGATCACAAATGTATTTTTTATTCTAAGTTTCATTGTGAGTTAAATTTTATTGAAATGTATTGGAAAGCTACAAAAAATTTACACGTGAAAATTGTGATTATTTTTGGGCAGGTTTGCAAAAAACAGTTCCTTTAGGTTTGGATTCTATTAATTTAATTACAATTAGAAAATTTGCAAGAAAAATATGGTGATATATGGATATTTATCATAAAGGAATTAGAGGAAAATTAGCAGAATATGCTGTAAAAAAATATAAATCTCATAATCATATTCCTGATAATATTTTAGAAGAATTAAATAAAGTTGAAATTTGATTTTAAAGTTATGCGTATATAAAAATGTAATGATTTGATTGGTTAAAATATTATGTAATGTCATGTGATTTGCTTTATAAATTTCGGACTATTGTAGAGTATAGGTGATTTGAACTGTATAAATAACAGAAAATATATACTTTATACACAATAAGTACACAAATTCAATTACCCGAAATAAAGCCCATCTCTCAAGAAGTTGAATAGGCATTAATAAATGTAGTCAAAACATGAATATATTATAGAAAGCTAAAGGATGCAGAGCTATAAGGAGCGGATAATAAAATTATGCCAAGCAGAAGATCCTGATGCATATATCCTAGAAAATGCAAAAAGATTATTTCCAGATAAGGATAAATATCATAGTATTATGGATGACTATAAATCTTGGTATGGAAAACATCCAAAAATTCTTAATGCTGTAATAGATCTATATAAATTATACTATAAATTAGCCAAAGATTATTCAATACTAAAAAACAAGTTAATAAAGAACTTGAAGACTTTTTTAATTACTAAACATCCATTGAGGTGATAGTTGAGCTTCTTTAATAACCATTAATCTTTCTCTCACAAAAGATCTTTTCGGGCTATTACCTTCATCATCTTCCAGCCAGTATAAGACCGGCTGATTTTTTTGCATTAAAGATTCACAGATATGATAGACTTGAAGAGACCAATCATATTTTCAACACGTCTTCTTTCACCATCTAACTCACTTGGTTTAAGTAAATATTTTACAAGAACATCATAAGTTAATTGTAGTGTTCCGCAAAAAATCCGATTCGATCCGAATCCGATCCGGATCCGACGGATCGGATCGAATCGGATTTATCGG